CCCCCCCCTTTTTTTTTAAGTTGGGTTGTTTGTCTTTTTGTTGTTCAGTTGTAGGCATTCTTTATATACTCTGAATATTAAATCCTTACCACTATATGGTTTCCAAATATTTTCTCCCATTCTGCAGACTGTCTTTTTCACTTTCTTGATAATGTCTTCTGAGGCCCAGAAGTTTTTAATTTTGATGACGTCCAATTCATCTATATTTTCTATTGTTGCTGGTGCTTTTGTTGTCATTTACTCCTGAGACATGAGTGCTAATAAAGACTGAAAGGAAAATTGAGTGCTCTTCAAATCTGTGAATTTCAAATTCCAGCCCTGAATAGTTAGTAGTACTGGGCAGTCTTCAAAAAACTTACTCTTGCTTTGAACATACAAGAGTGAAAAGTTATGCCTTTTTGAACCTCTAGATCAGCTAGTACATTTTATAGAAGTGCTTGTAATCCACTTAGCCTACATTTTTGGTTCAAACCCACCAGTGGCTGTGTAGGAGAAAAGACCTGGCAATTTGTGCCTTTAAAGATTACAGCCTAGGAAATCGTATGGGGCAGTTCTACTCTGTCACATAGGGTCGCTATGAGTCGGCATTGACTCAACCGCATCCAACAACAACAGCGTATACAAACTACTGCTACGTGTCTGAGAAGGGTGACACCAGAAGATTCTGTTCACAGACAGCAATTATCTAAAAGAATATGACAAACATGCGCACAACTATAAAATCAGGCTGGCTATGTTAATGTGACAAATGAAAGGAACAAACTACACGGGAAGCTGGTAGAGAAAACAAAACAATTCATGAAGGAAGGTAGCATTTGACCTGAGCCTTAAAAGATAATTAAAATTCTGACAAGTAGAGATGGGAAGCTAGGGCATTCCAGAAAAAGGAAATGGCTGCTAGCCAACATTTATTGAGCACTCACCGTATGCCAGACATTTTTCTTAGTGTTACATCTGTTAACGCATTCATTACTCATAACAACTCTACAGATTAGGTACTATTATTTTCTCCTTTTTTACAGATGAGGAAGCTGAGGCATTTGGAGTTTAAACCAACATTTGAACCCAGGCAACCTAGGGCCAGTATCAACTTGCTGAATCAGTACACTTTTCTGCTAAAAAACAAAAGAAGGCAGGGAAATACAGAGCCCTTTCTGGCAAGAGTTTAGGGAGACAAGGCTAGAAAGAGAGGATGGGCCTTGAATGCCAGTCTGAGCAGGTTTTTTTTTTTTTTTTAAATTCAACAGAGAAGAGGGAATTGACACTGCCCTTGAACTTCTATTGGAAAATCACCAGCATGTTTACCAAGTCATATTTCCTTCACAGATTGATGGAACGTTTAAAATAGATATTCCCCCTGTTCTTCTGGGCTACAGTAAGGAAAGGAACATGATTATCGAGCGGGGTTTTGATCCAGTCCGAAGCCTAAGTGAAGGCTCCTACATCACCCTGTTCATTACCACTGAGCCTCAGCTGGTTCCTGGAGAGTCAGTTCGAGAAAAGGTAATTCTGCTTGTAATTTGGAAATGCATGACTGTTGGCTGAAACATGAAAAATGCCTGCTAGTCTATGTTTTTACAAACTTGGAATGCACTGCACAGGCAGAGTTTCCCTTGCTTCAGTGTTCATTTATTCCTCTTTCCGTTTGGACAGAATGGTGATTAAAGAACAGCTGTGTGGATTTGTACTTCTATTGAGCCAGTAATTAGGTCAATCAGCAGCATAAATGTTTAGGCAAACCAAAACAAATGTAAACATGCTCTGCTTTTAGAAGAATTTTCTCACTGTTAAGAAAATAAAATATGGAAAACTAGAAAAGCAGATTGCCCTTGTATTTTGACGTTTATTGGCAAGCATGCTGAAATACATTTCCATGTCTGACCTCACCTCCCTGACTGTGCTATGAAATGAATTAATTCATAGGGTCACAAGGCTAGATGACCGTTGGGATCACCTCAATTCATTTCAACACCTTTGGACAGAAACAAATACACACACGTACTCTAACAGTGCAGTGGTTAAGAGCTATGGCTGCTAACCAAAAAGTCAGCAGTTCAAATCCACCAGCCGCTCCTTGGAAACCCTATGGGGCA